AAAAGGCCCCCCCCCCCCCCCCCCCATCCAACTACCCCAACTTTTTCACATTTATGATAGACTTTAGACCACAGTTTCATGTCATCTAAAGTATTCATAGAGAGCTTTTTAGCATATTCCTCAGACAATAATTATATAATTTTGATTATGTAAAACCAACAGCATTACAAGCGCAGTTTTAAAGATGTTTTCTTTGGATTGTTTGACTACTGAATAGAGAATATAGAAAAATATAACTTAATTAGTTTCCTGCTAGGTAAACTTCACATAAACAAAAATCTGGCTCTAAACCTCTCTTTTTGATTCAAAGTTGATCTAGACAAGTATAGGGAAACTATCCAAAGCTCTGTTTTCCTATATATGCAATGAAAACTGCATATCTATATTCATTTATTCAAAGCAATTAAATTATATATTCATATATTCAAAGCAAATGTATTACTTTTTTTTGTTAACCTGGCAAAACATCCCTACATTACTACTACTACTACTACTATAACTACTACTACAAATAATACTAATAAATTAATAAATAAATAAAAAAACACACCATGGTTAGCCTACTAAAATTAAACCATGGTAACCACAAATTAACCATTTGTCTGTGTATACTTTCTTTCTTTTTTCTTTGTTTCGTTTGTAGAAATGTACTGCCTTAAAGGTTTGATTTTTTGTACTATTTTTATACTTAATAAAAATATCAACAAAACACTTACATTTGTATTTCTGATATGCAAATCTATAATAAATATGTATGACACCGCATACTGAAGCGTGTGAGCAGCGCAATGTTGCTATGGTTACTTCCTCAGGCGAACTTGATTTTGTTAGCGTCTAATTGGAAAGTGTCCTGAGTTCAGTAATAGCATTTATCAATACGCAAACGATATACAAGAGTATAAAAGATAATATGTTGCCTATACATGATATTTAACCCACCCCATATAATTCGCACCCTGGTCACCCAGTGGTCATGCACGCGCCTCAGACACAAGGAGGTCAGCAGCAGCAGAGGCAGGGTGTTAATGGTGGGCTGCGCGTCAGTGAGGGGGACAGATGAGAACTGTGAATCCATCCGTGAGGAAAGTCATAGTGTCAACACTATTTAGCCGTACATTGAGGCTGCTATGGTCGTCTACATCTGGAGTTTGAACATTAGCAACAAAGACACTTCTGCGCTCAATCAAAGTGCAAATGTCAGTTCAGGAGACCCTCTAGAGCCCCACGGGACCCCACCTGGCCTGAGCCGGACCGGCCACACGGTGACAGCCGTCTGCCTGGGAATCATTCTGGTGTTTGGATTCCTGAACAACCTCTTCGTCCTGCTCGTCTTTGCGAGGTTTCGCTCACTGTGGACACCTATAAACCTCATTCTGCTGAACATCAGCGTGAGTGACATACTGGTGTGTTTATTCGGGACTCCCTTCAGTTTCGCTTCCAGTCTCTACGGGAAATGGCTGTTGGGATATCACGGCTGCAAATGGTACGGTTTCGCCAATTCGCTTTTTGGTGAGTTTTACTGACGTTCATTCAACAGGATTTGTTATAGGTGTAACAGGTTTCAGAAGTTATTTCAGAGGATAAGTTACCTTACAGCCGAACCTTCTTTGTAGTGCTGCTGTGTGTTATTTTCTGGCGTACACATAGGTTTGCTGATCGATAAGTTACGTTTTGAATCCAGTAACCATGGGCATTTGGCAATATATTTAATAACTTAATATTAACAGCGTCTTCAAGCCAAGAGCTTGTTCATAGTTTAGTAGTTTTTGGGAAGTTTAGGAAAAAAGGCTCTATCTATCTATCTATCTATCTATCTATATATATATATATATGTGTGTGTGTGTGTGTGTGTGTGTATATATATATATATATATATATATATATATATATATATA